CTAGGCTATGAAATATGTCCATGAACAAAGCAAAGTGAGGTCTCTGTTTTCAAAGGCTCTCATTCTAAAGGGAGGGAAACACATAGATAGAAAGTAAATAGTTATTGCTTTAGAAAGTGATATTATAAAAAGAAAGGAAAAGTAGAGTGCCACAGGTATGGGATAGTGGACTTCAGGCATCTGCAGAAGGTGTGGAGAGGCCTCCTTGAGCAATGGGTTTAAACAGAAACTTGTAAGAGGAGAGAAAAAGTTGTAAGGATGTTGGGAGAAAGCAACTAAACTGTAGGCAGAGGGAGCATAGCACAAAAGCCCCCATTGGAAGTGTTTAAGGTGTTGTGGGAGGGCACTAGGCCAGCATGCCTAGAGCCAGGGTCAAGTTTGGGGGTGGGGGTAGTGGTAGCAAAAGAATAGGTCAGCAGTTTTTACTGTCTGAGAGTTCTGTTGATCAAAAGTCCAGACATGTCCCAATGGGGTTCACTGTCCTGGACCCTCCAAGTGGGAATGAAAGTGTCTGCTGGGACAATGTCCTCATCTTCCAAGACCATTTGGGCTGTTGGTGGAATTCAGTTTGTTGCAGCTCACAATCTTTGTTTTTTCAACAACAAAGAACATCTGCTACTGTTTTGTCACTTTTTAGGGTTCCTTTGATTAGGCAGTCCCACTCATGTCATCTACCTTTTGAATAATTCAAATTCAGCTGATTAGGGACCTTAGTCACATGTGCTCAATCCCCTTTACCACATAAAGTGACATATCATAGGCATACTCTCCCATTGTGTTTACTTGCTGCCACACTAAGAGGGCATGGGGGATTCCATCTGGCATGTACCCCAAGTAGCAGAAATCGGGACAGGGGGTTGTCATAAAGAATGTCACAGAATGTGATGGTGTTGTGAACTACATCAATTGACTATGTGCTTTGCATAAACTGATCTTATTAATTTCCCAGAGCTTATGAAGCTGTTCCTTGGGACAAAATGCTACCACCAAAACTAGATCCAGAAATAACAACAGTAGAGAAAGCGGCTGACCTCATCTCACAGTGTTTTACACTGAAAAGATATGAAAGAGTACCAGCAATAACCCAGGTCTGTGAACACTGCTTGAGCATCCTTGAGTTTGTTACTGTTAATGAACTAGACTCCAAAACTTTGGTTCACAATAGTATTTTGGTTAAGAATTACATATGAAGTTGAAAGTTACTTAATCATGAATGCCATTACTAACTGGAAATATTTTAATATTATCAACTCTGAAAATTTTTATTATGGGATTATTTCTCAAAACTCATTAGCGATAACTTTATTTTTTAAAAAATCGCTATAGAATAAGTAAAAGAATGAAGGAGACAGAAACAAAATATTCCAACAGATAATATATGCTGAGAATAGTTCTGAAAATAGGTTCTAGAATTTCTCTCTGTGCTCTTCAAGGCAGAAGTTATATCTATGAGTTATAGATTGCTATATCCTTTCTCTGATTATGTGATAATGATAAAGCATACCAAGCTGTGAGGAGAGATGTCCTCTTTTTTAATTTGTGAATATTAAGAGAATTTGCAACATAGATTATATTCATTCCAAAGAGTATTTTTATAAACTGTGAATCTGTTAATGTTCCTCTTCTGATTAAACATGTCTTTTTAAAACTATCAAATCCATGCTTCTAGACATGACACATGCCCAATATTCCATATTTAGCCATAGCTCCCTTTTCTCCCTTCCATAGTGTTCTTTTCCTCTGGCTTTCCCTTCTATCACCCAAGCACCAATCCATAACACATTCCAAATTCTCTCTGTTGAACTTCTTCCTAGTCCCCAAGTCTGCCATGCTCCCTCTCAGATCTTGTGTTTTGCAGTGTTATTTTGCCTTGGTCCCCTTTCTTTGTTCCAGGCTAAACCCAAAGCATTCTTGAGATCTCGGTCCTCACTTTTGACCTCCCAACTCTGCATTAGATATCTCTGCTTTGTTCTTCTACTTTCTACTTCCATTGATTGGAAGTAGAAACACACTTTGTAATTCCATTGATTTCTCATCCTTTGCTGACATACTTCATTACATAAAGTTTAGTTAAGCAGTTGATTACTTGTCATAATAAAGTTTTTGAATATACAAAATGCATAGGATTGAAAAAGACGTCATTTGTATTGAAATACAGTAAGAAATGTGGATCCTTAAGAGGTTGGTGAACCACAAATTAAGAAGCACACATTATCTGGTAAATTTTCTTCAGATTTTATGGATAAAAATGATAATAAGACAGAAAAACATAGCTTCAATATGAAAAAATCAAACCTGGGATTTTCACATAGGAATTAAGATCAATTAAAGGACAAACAAAAATTTGTATGGTTCCATCTATTTGTAAGGATTTCTCAATTACTTCAAAATATTTTTATATCATGCAAAAATTGGTTTCATCATTATATTTTTCCTAAGTGCTAAATTATATTAGCATCCAAAATCCTCCCCAGGAAAGATGAGGTCCAGAACTTAGGAGCTAGGCTGGGCTGGAAAGGGGCACTAAGGTGGACCTGAGGGCAGTAACTGGATGAAACTGAAACCAGACTTTTCACAGAGGGTTGGGGCTGAAGGGGGTGGATCTGAGGCAGATTCCAGCTGGGAGAAAACAAGTTAGAAAAGGGAGTCAAAGTGTAGAGTGGAGACAGACCCAGAGTGACTCAGGAATCAAGCCCTGAGTTGCAGAAATGCCTAGAGAGTGCCTTCACAGAGAGCCTGTGCTCCATCCTGATGTGAGAGTGCTAGAAAGGATGCTGGAGCCTGTCTGTATCTTTGACGGGATAGTGATTTGTTCATTAACTGTCTCTTATTTGGTTATGATTTTAGATGGTCGGTGGACTCTGGGACAGATTTCAGACAAGATCATTCTTAGCACCAGTCAAACCAGTCAGTTTGTAAGTTT